TCAGTTCTTTTTTTCGCTTTTTTTGGAAATTTTTTTTTAATTCATTTATCAGTTTTTATATTTAAAAATTATTAAAAATAATTTACGATAGGCGCTGTCTGTCATAGCGCCCAGTATGCGCTAGCAGCCACAGCGCTCCAATTTTTACATTTTTTAAATACTATAATTACAAAATTTTCGTTATCAACTCCAATATTTAATACTGTTAATTGATTGTTGCCGTAATTTTTAATAAAAAATTTAGAATAAATTATACATGGAATATACATATATATACACCAGTTAAAAACTTCAAAGTTACAAGACGTGTAAAAGGTAAAAAAAAATGGTATCAAAATTGACGAAGAGTAAAATATGATTTTTAATGTTCTCTATTACAATTTTCATAAAATTATAAATATATCTCAACAAATTATGAGCATCCAACTGTCCCACCACTTTTGTTCAACACTTCAAATCATTATTAATGTCCCAGCAAAAGGTGAAAATTAGAAGCGCTACACGCGCTATGGGCCATGACGCCTAACAGGCGCTCTGGGCCATAGCGCCCCATTTTTTATTTTTTTTTTTTCGTTTTTAATTTTTTATTGCATTATATTATTTCTTTTTTTAAATTTATATTTTTTATAATTTTTTAATCACGTTTAATTATTACTTTTAATTTTATTTATTATTACTTTAATTACTATTTGTTATCAAAATTTATTTTTTATTTTTCTTACATTACTGTTATATTTATTCGTTTTTTCTTCACATTTTTTTAATATTTTTAAATTTATAATAATATATATTTTTTTTATTTATATCAATATTCTGTTTTAGGCTATAGCGACTTCATTTTTAGTCCAATGGAGGCGCTATAGCCTATAGCGACTTGTTCAAGTTCTCCACCAGCTACAACGACACTTCTGATATGGCTTTCATGGCTTATCTTCAGGCCCAGGATTGCCACGTGTCATGTGTGTCACTATGGCCCATAGCGACACACATGAATACAGCCCCAAAGGCGTAAAATATTTCAAAACAACCCCAATTTCGTATATAGTTTCCAAAAGTGCCTTACAATGGTTGTTTAGCCCAACTATGTATATTTTTTATCTTAAAAATGGATGTTATGCTCTTTTTATATACATAAAAAAAAAATTTCCCTAATTTGATAAAGTTGAATTCTCCACTCTCATCTCTCATGTGAATATTTTTGTGAAAAAATAAAATAAAAATAGTTCTCACGAAATAAGTATAGTTTTTTTTTAAAATAGTTACCAATCATAAAGAATCAAGATTTTCAATTTAAGATTATCAGAAAAGAAAAAATATTTCACGTATTAAACATTTTTTTAGGAATTATTTAGTAGGGAAGAAGTTTTTTTATACCCACAAATCATGATTCATGAGAATTACAAATATGGAAGTCATTATTTTTGGGAATAGTAAAAAGATATTTGATTACTTATAAAGATTCCTAGGAATATTCATATAAAAATTTTGAGAGTTAAAGATTTCCATATTTGATTACAATAAAATATTCTTGGTTATACAAATACAATTTACAAAAATATTCTTTATTAAAATAATCTTATTAAATAAATTTATTTATTTAAACCTTATAACAAATATGACATTAAATTAGTTTTAAATTTTGAAAAATTATAGTTAAAATTATTTAAATATAGAATTCAATAAAATAAAATAAGAAATAAAAATGCTAAATAATACTAAAAAGAATAAAAATATATTATTTTATTTTATTCAAATAAATAAATATTAACAAATATTATTAAACTTTAAAAATAAAATAGACGTTAGTAATATTATTAAAATTAATAAAATCAAGAAATAATGAAATACAAGAAAGAGATAGAAAAAAAATAAAGATATGGAAGAGAGAGAAAAGACAAAGAGAGGGGGAGTGAGAGTGAGGCTTTGTTTGGATTTGAAGATGGAAAATGGGGAGTGGAAAAGGAGAGATTTGAAGGGAAAGTGAGTGGAAAGTGAGGTTGTTTAGATTAAGGGAAAATGAGTGGAAAGTATAGAGAAAGTTTGTGAAAGTTTGTGAATGAATTGATTGATGTGATAGATAAAAATAAATTTTTTAATTGATAATTGTGAAAGATTACTATTTTTCCCTTAGGTTAAAAAAAGTTTATAATTATTATAATTAAAAGATAAATATATAAATTTTAACTAAAAAAATTATAAAAAATTAATTTAAAAATAAATTAATTTAAATATTTGCTTTAAATTTAATGATAGATAAAAAATAAAAATTTAAGAGATGAATATATAATTTACACTTTTACCCTTGGATTAAAAATGAGTATAATATTATTTATTGTAATTAATAATAATTACAATAAAATTATATTAATAGGGTTTATTTACTAAAAAAATAATAAATAATGATAAGAATAATAATAAATATTAGAAAAATAATAAGAATCATAATAAATAATAATGATACTAATTATAATAAATAATAATATTAATATTAATAAAAATAAAAATAATAATATTTATAATAATAAATAATAATAACAAAATATATTATGATAATTATATTTTGTAACATTATTTTATTAATGTTTATGAAAGTGTTATTATTATAATTTTATAAACATGTTTTACTTTATTTTTTTTATATTTCCACTTTTTGATGTTAATATTTAATATATAATACCTTAAATTAAATATAATTATTTAATATTAATATTTAATATATATATATATATATAAATTAAATATTAATATTAAATAATTATATTTAATTTAAGGTATTATATATTAAATATTAATATTTTATATATATATATATATATATATATAAACGGTATTAAATAATCATCATTAATAACAAATTAATGACCCTAGAACGGCCCGTTCCGAATCCGGAACGGCCGTTATGGACTCATTTGCCATGTCTCATTGACATACCTGGAAAGACCCGTTCCAAAAGTGAAACGGCCCGTTCTGATTTCACATATTTCTCATAAAATGCATTTTTGGAACGGGCCGTTCCGGGTTCCACTGGCAGCGAAAATACCCTGCATAATCGATTATGGCCTTGCCATAATCGATTATGCCTCACCCATAATCGATTATACAAGGCCATAATCGATTATGTGGCCAACCATAATCGATTATGCTCCTTCGTATATACAAATGAGATCAAACTTACCTTCAATGGAGGAGCTCCTTCCACAATCACTCACCACCAACACCCACCAGCCACCACCAGCCACGCACCAGCAGCGTTCCGGGTTCCACTGGCAGCGAAAATACCCTGCATAATCGATTATGGCCTTTGCATAATCGATTATGCCTCACCCATAATCGATTATACAAGGCCATAATCGATTATGTGGCCAACCATAATCGATTATGCTCCTTCGTATATACAAATGAGATCAAACTTACCTTCAATGGAGGAGCTCCTTCCACAATCACTCACCACCAACACCCACCAGCCACCACCAGCCACGCACCAGCAGCCACCACCAGCCACGTAACGTCGAGAATGAGTCACCAGCCCGTGGAGAACGTGGAGAATCAGTGAGCAACACCAACCACCAGCATCGAAATTCTGTCAACCATAATCGATTATCCTATGTTGCATGGCACATGCATGGGAGGGGCATTTTCGAATTTTCACAAATCCTATGTGTCTTTCACCTCCTTTCTTCCCTTTTGTGCGAGGAGAGCAACAGTGTTTCTCCTTGCTTTTCTTCGCCTTTCCTTCATTCCAAATTAGGGGAAACAAACGAATACTTTCCACGCCTTTCTTTGCTCGTGAACAGTACTTTCCTGGAAACAAACACTACCTGAGAGAGATATAGAAAGGGAGAAAGTGAAATAAAAGAAGTGAGAGAAAGGGAGAGGGGAGAGAAGAAGAAAAGGGGAGTGAGAGGAAAGAGAGAAATAGAAGGGGAGAGGAAGAGGGAGAAAGGAAGAGAGTAGGAATGAGAGAGAGAGAAGGAGAAAGAAAAAAGAAAGAGAAAGAGATTTTGTTTTAAAAATGAATATTGTGTTTTTTTCATTATATTAGACTTTTCCACTAATTAAGAAAAGTTAGATCCATAAGAATGTTTTTGTGAAAAAGTAAAATAAAAATAGTCCTTCCAAAATTATATTCTTGATATTTTTTTAATAGCTACTAAAGATAAGAAGCCAAAATTTCAATTTAAAATTTAAAATTCTTAAGAACGTAAAAATATTTCGAATACTAGACGTCCCTTAAAATTAAACTTTTTTTTTAATATACTTTTCATTTATTGTTAATTCTACTTTCAATACATTCACTTATAACTAATATTAAATATAACAATCACTAAATATAAACGGTATCTTTAAAATAAAACTTAATTTTTTATAAAATTAATTAAAAGTAATAATTTTATTTTTTAATTTTTAATTTTGATAATTTATCTTATATTACTTGATGATGGTCGAGATAATATTATATATAGAAATATACATGTAGAAGCCAAGAAACTTGAGTGATAGGTAAGTTACCAACATAGGGTGGGCAACCTCATTTTCGCAACAATCTGCTTCTCTTTTTAATCAATACGTACCAAACACCAAAACATGTAGTAATGAATAGAGCTCCCTATATAAGAACCTCTGACTTTATTTTATTTTATTTTTTATTTTCCAAATAAGAAACCCTTACGTTTTATTACACTTATTTATTCTTATATAATATTACATATATTTAATCAAATCCAAGATTATATAATTTAAAATTTATTAACAATTTCTTTCAATTTATTACAAATATATACATCCTGCGTATAATCAAACTTTTTATATTTACTATTTTAATTTTTTTTACAAATTTATTAAATATAAAATTGAATATTTAAAAAATGCTATATTATTTTCTGTGCAATTCACGGTCAATATACTATAGTTTATATTTAATTTAGATGTGGTATTGGATTTGCAGTTTGCAGTTTCCAGCAGAGTGGCGTGACGTTTTAAAAGAAACCATTAAATAAAAAAAAAAAAAAAAAAAAAGGTGGAATCCAACTTCTCTCCCGATTCACCAATTATATCATTATCAACTCTCCCAAACCAACCACTTTCCTCTCCTTCGCCGCCGATCCGATCCATCTCACAGTGGTTCGCCTTTCGAAATTTAGCTGCATGAGCTGGTTCGGGAAGCTGCGTTTATTCTCCAATTTCAATTCATTCTACTTCATTACTTGTCTCTTAATTTTTATTCTCCATTTCTCACCTCAATCCCTCCAACCCTCATTAATCGACGCTAAATCTAATCACACTTCTATTTTCCCTCTTTCCTCGCAATATGGAGTCCCGATTCAGGAGTAATCGCAGAGGTTCCTTCTCCACCACGCCCTTTTTATTTTTTATTTTATTTTATTTTATTTTATTTTTAATGCTTTTAACGCGTCTACAGTTTCACTTTAATTTGATTTCGTTTTGTTTCTCAATATAATAGTGAAGTCATTGTATGGTACGAATGAAAGGCTAATGTCACCACGTGCATGCCTATTTTCTTGTTTCAACTTTGAAATAGATCTAGGGTTTTGGGTAATCGAGTTTCTGAAAGTGATCTTTACTCTTTTGGGAGAATAAGATTGCTATCTCGTGGAATCTAGCCGCGAATGTGACTTGTGTTTTGGCTGGTTTTACTCTCGAGTGTTTAAAAATAAAGATTATGATGATGTCTTTTTTTAGTGCTGATTGCTGAATAATGAGTGTGATTTGAAAAGGGAAATAATGTCTTGGGTCATCCTTGCTTTTATTTCTCTGTGCTACAATTGACTTGGATCCTGCTTCCTCCTTCTTTGTAGGTCTTTGCTATGAAAATGTTGACAAGGAGCAGGGGAGGTCCCCGTCTGTTATTGTCATTGGAGGTGGCATGGCTGGGATTGCTGCTGCTCGGGCTCTTTATGATGCCTCGTTTCAGGTATTCAAGCAAAATAATATATTTAATCACTATCTTTTACTTCAAATTTTAGTTTGTTGGACTTGCATGCCACTCTAATATACAATGATAAGTTTTCCAAGTCTGTCTTGTGCCTGCATACTTGACTACAATGAATTGTGTCTATGATTAGCTGCATGGATTGTGAAACTTTGCTTTGCTTCTGACCTCAGAAGTTTAATGTTAATTGCAATCTATTTCGGTGGAAAAATTGTTACACTCATCTATTGTTGTGTCTGTTATGTTTTGGCTCAACTTAGAGGTTGTGTGTGGGTAAGGTTGTTTACTTTAAAGCATTTTATATTTCCTGGGTGCTACCACTTCACTTGGTTACTTTGCTAGTTTAGAATTGGACTGGTTTTGTACATTAGTCAAATCAAACCACACATTTTGAATGAGAAAAAATTCACAAAGTGAAAAAAACAAGCAAACATATATTTAGCTCATGAAGAGAGGCAACATCTCCATTATTGTTTTTGCTTTCCCTTCTTGGACATGCATGCTTTTGTACTTGTTAGATTATTTATTTGCATAAATTTACTTTTTTCAGGTTGTTCTTTTAGAATCACGGGAAAGACTTGGTGGCCGAATACACACTGATTACTCATTTGGCTTTCCTGTTGACCTGGGTGCATCTTGGTAGAGCTTATACTCTTTGTTCTCATTAAATTTTTATTTTTTTACTGTAGATAAGAATGTGGCATTTCTCCCTTTTTTAGTATTAAAAGTGGCTGACTTTGTTTTAGGTTGCATGGTGTTTGCAAGGAGAATCCATTGGCTCCATTGATTGGGAAACTGGGACTACCTCTTTACCGTACTAGTGAGGATAATTCTGTCCTTTATGACCATGATTTGGAAAGGTACAAATGCCTCTTTGATTTTAAATGATATTATTTAAATATTTCTGCTTTACTTCTATAATTAATTGGTGACATTAGTGTATGCATCAATTTATCCTCTCCTCTCCTTATCCTGAATGGGATACATTATTGTGTACAAGTTTTTTCTAATTGAAATTCATCAACTTCTTGCAGCTATGCACTTTTTGATATGGAGGGAAATCAAGTTCCCCAAGAGTTGGTAACAAAAGTTGGTAAATTTTTTGACATGATTTTACAAGAGGCAAGTCATTTAATATTTGTAGTTATTTTGTTTATCTGATATATTGAATTTTCAAAATAGAAAAAGAAAATATTCAGGAATATACTGCTTTTTTGATTGTTTCTATATGTTTGATTCCATTTATTACGATCATCATCCCTAAAGATTGACCTGAGTTTAATGCAGACAAATCACGTACGAGAGGAATTCACTGAAGACATGTCCATACTCCGCGCACTTTCCATTGTTTTTGAAAGAAAACCGGAATTGAGGTCATTATTGGCATAAAAAAATCCCTCAACCTCCATTATTCATTTTCTTGAAGCCCAAGTAATGTATAATTTAACTTTTTCTGTTGGATGCAGGTTGGAAGGGCTATCATACAAGGTGTTGCAGTGGTATATATGCAGAATGGAGGGCTGGTTTGCTGCAGATGCTGATGCCATATCACTGAAATGTTGGGATCAGGTAATTTGATAAAACCAAGTTTGAGATATTTGGGTTCTATTATCTATATATCCATTTCAAATTTGTGTCATTCAAATTTGAATTGCATGACATATCATTGATTGGTGGTAGGCCGAACCGCTGAAGTGAATCGGAAACTTTTTCTTTTTTGTCTATTTATAATTATTGATCTATTTTTTCTATACCTATTTTAACTGAAGAACATGATGTTGGTCGTAAAGTTGCAAACTCACAGACTCACAGTTATACCTTATATGTTTGAGTTTGAGGTTAAATGGCAACATATGACTTATTACTGGTTTCCATAAAGCATATTAGACATAAAGGATGTATTATGAGATAGATAAGTGGCTTCATATGGTGCTTCTAGTCACAGTATGCTGCTAGTTTATTGTTGATTACTGCATGCGTAAACATCTTTCATGTATAACTTATCCTTCTTTGTATACCTGCATACAGGAAGTATTGCTTCCTGGTGGTCATGGTCTTATGGTCAGGGGTTATCAGCCTGTTATAAATACCCTAGCCAAGGGTCTTGACATTCGCTTGGGACACAGGTATATATTAGTTTAAAGTTTTGTTTTGGAAGTCTATGTTCTGTTATGTTGCTTAACTAAATTTAATGGCTTTGATAATACCTCTTCTCAGGGTCACAAAAATAGTTAGGCAATATAATGGAGTAAAGGTGACGGTAGAAAATGGGAAAACATTTGTTGCTGATGCAGCCATTGTTGCTGTACCTCTTGGGGTACTGAAGGCAAAGAGCATAACATTCGAGCCAAAGCTCCCAGACTGGAAAGAAGCTGCCATTTCTGATATTGGGGTTGGAATTGAGAATAAAATAATTTTACACTTTAAAAATGTTTTTTGGCCTAATGTGGAATTTTTAGGAGTAGTTGCAGAGACATCTTATGGATGCAGCTACTTTCTTAATCTCCACAAGGCTGCCGGTCGTCCTGTCCTTGTTTACATGCCTTCTGGGCAGCTGGCCAAAGACATTGAGAAAATGTCTGATGAAGCAGCTGCTAACTTTGCTTTCATGCAGCTCAAAAGGATCCTTCCAGATGCTTCTTCTCCGGTAACCTTGATAATTTTTATGATTTATTTCACTTTTAAACTATGCAAGAAAATGCTTCAACCCATATCTGTAGGCGGCAGTTTCCCAAATTTAATTCCTTTTTGTTCCTGTACATATAATATTCGCAGACAATTGCTATATGGTTGAATCGAATGTTATTTTTTCGTGTCAAGTCTGTTGTTCATGTTTTGAGGATGTAATTTGTTTCAATATGCAGATTCAGTATCTTGTGTCTCATTGGGGTTCAGATATCGATACGCTAGGTTCCTATAGCTATGATGCAGTTGGGAAACCACATGATCTATATGAAAGGCTACGGGTCCCTGTAGACAATTTATTCTTTGCAGGCGAAGCAACGAGTATGTTGTATACGGGGTCTGTGCATGGTGCATTCTCTACTGGAATGATGGCAGCTGAGGACTGCAGGATGCGTGTCCTAGAGCGTTACGGGGAGCTAGATTTGTTCCAGCCGGTAATGGGAGAGGATGTTTCAGTGATACCACTCCAGATCTCTCGTTTGTAATCTCCAGATGCTCCCAGTGGCATATCTGGTGTTAAATGTTGTGTTGAACTGTTGGTGTGTTCCTTAGAACTGCTGTGACTCCTAGAATTTGAATTACGCAGAAATGCCTTAGTGACATGCTGCCTCATTTGAGTTTTTTACTCAAATAATATTATTTTTAAAAAAATTTACTCAAATAGCAATTATACAAATTTATTTCTTGAACTAGCACCATTTATTATTCACGTTTCGGAACGGGTCGTTCTGAAATCAGCATGGGCCGTTCCGGATTAAAAAATAATACATGGAAAATAAATCAGAACGGGCCGTTCCAAAATTGAAATTAGCACATAATAAATGGAACCAGAACGACCCATTCTGAAAGCAGAACGGGCCGTTCTGAAAGCAGAACGGGCCGTTTTGACTTATAAATAATTTTTTTTTCGATATTCACTTATCAAATACCAAAATTCAGAAATTAAAATCAAATAATTAAATTTATTGAATATTAACATTATAAATATATCTAAATAAATTTATTAAATTTCAATACAACAATAAAAATTAATGGTGGCAGAAATTGATTATGTTGTTCTTTAATGTCCATTTCTGTTTTAATCCTGTTAGACTTTAGTCGACCCTTAAAAGTTTGCTTGAGTTCTTGATTTGGCTACAAAGTTAGACCAGTAGGCTAATAATCTTCATGTCGGAGCTCTCCAAATTGTCTTTCGTATACCTTTTTGGAACTTGCCGCAATCATATCACATTTCATTTAGTCTTACTGTAAATTTCCCAGCGGGTCAAACTTTTCTCGGATGTAATCTTCATGTCGAAGCTCTCCAAACTGTCTTTCGTATACCTTTCTGGAACTTGTCGCAATCATACCACATTTCATTTAAGCTTATTGTAAATCTCCTAGCGGGTCAAACTTTTCTCAGATGTAATCTTCATGTTGGAGCTCTCCAAACTATCCTTCGTATACCTTTCTGGAACTTGTCGCAATTATACCACATTTCATTTTAGTCTTACTATAAATTTTCCAGCAGGTCAAACTTTTCTCGGATGTAATCTTCATGTCGGAGCTCTCCTAACTGTCATTCGTGTACCTTTCTGAAACTTGTCGCAATCATACCACATTTCATTTAGCCTTGCTGTAAATCTCCCAGCGGGTCAAATATTTCATTTGGAGAGCTCCGACATGAAGATTATTGACCTACTTTCACTGGTCCAACTTTGTTGCCAAATTTGTGGCTAAATCCAGAACTCAAGCGAACTTTTAAGGGTCGACCAAAGTCCAGCAGGATTAAAACAGAAATAGACATTAGAGAACAACATAATCAGTTTCTGCCACCATTTATCTTTATTGTTGTATTGAATTTTAATAAATTTATTTAGATATATTTATAATGTTAATATTCAATAAATTTAATTATTTGATGTTAGTTTCTGAGTTTTGGTATTTGATAAGTGAAAATTGAAAAAAGAAATTATTTGTAGGTCAGAATGGCGGCCGTTCTGAAAGTGGGCCGTTCTGATCCCACTTTTTATGTGCTAATTTTGATTTTGGAACGGTTCGTTCTGATTTATTTTCTATGTATTGTTTTTTAATCCAGAACGGCCCGTTCTGATTTCAGAACGGCCCGTTCCGAACATGAACAGTAATTGATGCTAGTTAAGAAAATAAATTTGCACAGTTATTATTTAGATAATTTTTTTAAAAAAATAATATTATTTGAGTAAAAAACTCCCTTCATTTAGTTATATTTGCCAATTATATGTATGGTAACGCATTGGTGTTTTCTCTGTTGTCTTTAAGCTCTATCCTTTTTAGGACTCTTTTTGTTGGAATTTTAGGACTTATTTTATCAGTGGAGAACTTTGCCGAATCATTGTAACTAGACTAGTAGGGCAGTAGGATATATATCATATATTAAACTGGTGTATGGCTCGTGCAGCAATTCATCCAGAACGGTATATTTTTTGTACGAGTAGCGATTATCATAGTCACTTTTTCTTCTATCTAACATCTACCTTACTTTTTATTTTTATTTTCTTTTTTATTGTCTCTTCAGTCTTCATTTCTCAATAATCATCAACCATATTAATTATTATCCCTTTTTTTTTTTTCCTTTTCATCCATACGCACACCTAAAAATGATGTGTATGCTGATCTTATGTATTTTCATACGGAACTCATAGAAGGTGTGAAGTTTGCTGCTCAAAATAATAAGAGTTCTATTATCATCGGAAGTGATTGCAAAAGGGTAGTTAATACTTAATATTAACACAACTAGAGATACACGCGCGCGATGCGGAAATAAAAAAGAAATTATTTAAATTAAAAAATATATTATTTTGTTAGTTAATATATAATTTTTTTAATTATATAATATGACTTTGTTATTGATTTCTTTTACAACAAATAAATTTATTATTGTTTGTAATAGGGTTTGTAAAGAAAAAATATTATTATAAATACTTTTAACATTTATATTTATATAATATTTCATGTTTTATTATCTTTTAGTTAGATTCAAATTCAAAAATATAAGGTTCAAGTAAATAATCTTTTAAAAGTTCATAACTAAAGATAATATATCCAAATAAATATTTTTTTTATAAAAATATTAATTTGATCCCTTATAATATTTTAAAATTTCAATTTAGTCTCACTTTAATTTTTTGTTTCAATTTGGTCCCTAATAAGTTAAATCACTGCAATGTTGGACCTTTCGTTCAAATTTCTTAAACAGAGTTAACTGTCGGCTACGTGGATGCCACGTAGATGCATAGGTGGCAAGGTCTCGTGTCCTCCTCCTCCACTTTCTTTAATGCATCTGGAACGGCCTGTTCTGAAACTAGAACGACCTGTTCTGGTTGCACTATTTGTGTGTTAATTTTGCATCTGGAACAGGCCATTCCAGATGCAATATTTAACATACAACAAGTGCAAGCAGAACGGTCCGTTATGAAACCAGAACGAACCGTTCCAGAAAGCCAACGTATGTTCAACAAAATGCAGCAATGTAGTTCAGAGATTGAAAATAAAAATTCATAATATAACATAAATTCAAAGACTGAAATATGGTTCAGAGACTACAAACAAAAATTTATAACATAACATATACTAAGAAAGTTCAAATAAATTACTGAGAAGAAAAATAAAACCATGTCATTTCATCATTGACTGTATAGTGCCGATTTGGTAGTAAGTGATTCACTCCAGTTTGAGTAACAATAAAATAAAATCTGTCACCATTGTCCTTAGTGTCCTTAGTGATACACTGCATTGCATAACAAGTATTATAATTAATACTTCTAGGAGTTTCTATATCATGCAATTGGTCCATAAATGGTGTATAGCCCAAATGTTTAGCAATTGAAGTTATCAATTCCCCATTGGCAATATTACCAAATTTAGTGTTTGGAATGTTTTGTACCTTGGGTTTTTTTTTCTTGAACAATTCACAACTGTGATTTAGAATCACGGGCGTGAACTATGATCATTAACCATTTGTGGTTGGCGTTCTAGGACCAGAACGGACAGTTCCAGATGCATTAAAGAAAGAGGAAGACATGGGACCTTACCACCTATGCATCTACGTGGCATCCACGTGACCAACAGTTAACTCCGTTTAATAAATTTGGACGGAAGGTCCGACATTGTAGTGATTTAACTTATTGGGGAGCATATTGAAACAAAAAATTAAGGTGAGATTAAATTGAAAATTTAAAATATTATAAGGGACCAAATTAGTATTTTTGCCATATTTTTTATAACCAAATTATAAAATAGTCTATTTCAATATTTTATAAAATTAATAAATTGATAATAAAGAATATAGATATATTTATTATTTTTAAATATATAACTTCTCATATACAAATCTAATTGTTGAAAGGTTTGCTCAATTTTTTTTATTGTTGTTTAAAATTAATATTAATCAAAAGTTTATTATTTTTCTTATCAATGAAGATAAATATCAATTAATAATAATTATTAGGTTTCAGCAAAAGCAATTTTTTAATAAAGATTTATAATTAATATTAATATTAATTACTATAATATTTATTATTTTTTTGAAACGGAGAATTTAATCAAATTAAATTTCTTAAATAATAAATGAATGATTGAATATTTTAATCTACAATCAATATCAATTAATATTGTTTCATTTTTATTTATAATTAAAATTAATTTGTTAGTAACTAAAAATTTAACAAAATTTAATCTCTTAATTAATAAAATCATTAATTCATATATAATTACATATTAAACATAATTTTAAATTATTAAAAATTATAGTTTTGACTAAAAAATGTTTTTTTTTTATGTTACTCATAATTAATAATAACTGCATAATATTTTTATTATAACGAACAATTTAATTAAATTTAATCTCTTAATTATCAATTAATATGATTATTTATATAATTACTAATTTACTAGTTAAATATAATTTGAAGCTATTTGTTTCTCAATATAAATATCGAAAAACAATAAAAATAATTCTATAGAAAGTGTTACATAGATAATAAAAATAATTGTTTCCTTCATCTTTTTGCAAAACAAATAGTTGCATATTAAAAAATAATTTAAAATTCAAGTTCAATACATGTAAGAAATAAATTAGATAAAAATGTGTGAAAAATTAAGAATAAATAGATAAAAAAGAGAGTAGAATATAAATTAAAAAGAATGTAAATATATAATATAAAAGGTAGAAAAAATAGGTGAAAAAAAAATTGTCACGTAAGATCGTGTCACACAAGAACGATGCTTGACGCAAAATCGTAACAGAGTTTTATAATGAACTGATAAGGTTAGCGCAATATAGTGTATGTTTGGTTTCAATTTTGAAACTCAATTTCTTTGTCACTCTCCACGTCCAAGTAGCAATTTAAGGAGAAACTATTATTTTTTTCTTCCAGTCAAACGTGAAAAATCACGTTTTGACGCTGTTGCAAACACACAGATAGTTTGATGAATGTATTTTCAACTTTGTTCCTGGGAAACGAATTGAGGCTGTCCACAAGTTAACAAAATTGGCACAATTCTCGGTGTAGTGATTTCTGATTCTGTTGCTGTACGATAATTTGATTCATTTCATTTCATTCATTTTGTACGGCGAATGAGCAGAAAGTAATCATTTGTAGATTATTTTGTGGACCAAGCATTTACATTTCATTTTTACATTTTGTCCCGGATGCTCGTACTTTGATTTTTTACATGTAAGAAGGGCCAAAAAGGTGGAAAGAGAGGGTTGAGTGGGAAAGGAAAGGTGTCACCAGAATAGGAGTGAGGGAGGGGGGTTGTAATATTTCTTACATATTTTGGAATTCACTCCAATAGTTCATAGTTTGAAGAACAATGCTTAACGCTGGAACTGAAGGTTTTCATTATTTTATTTTTAAATTTATGTGATGAGAAACACCCTTGTAGCCCAATACAAGATTCAGCACCACCTACAACGCTTTTAGACCATGCCTGATGAAAAAAAATATAAAAGAAAGGCCAGCAACACAATTACTTTCTAATATACTCTTTATTATTAGTTAAAACTAATTGAAAACTACAAAATTATGAGTAAGACTCATTAAATAAAATTTGAGACTCACAAAATTTTGTCATTTCCAATTCAACCAATAATAAAGAATATGTTCAAAAGAATATTGATTCTATTTGAAAGAGTGGTTGAAAGTTTGTTGCTACTATTTCTCAAAAGAAAAATGTTTCTTATGCGTTGACAACCAGTTGATCTAAGGTCTCAGTTTCAGCAGATTTCTTGATGCGACCAATGGCTTTTTCAACCTACAGTAACATTATGAATTAGTTCCAATGCACGTGATGAGCAATTCATGTAAAACATACATAATATACACAAAATCTTATGGGGTAGAATTTTGATTACCTCTGCATCCCAATTTGTTCTGGCAGTCAGAACTATTAGAGTTACTGTCTGTATAAGAACTCCAAGAACCATTCCCCACCAGATACCCTACAAAAATCCCAAATGTATAGTATGATACTAATCTTTATTCAAGCGAAGAGCTATAATTAGTGAGAAAATTGTTTCAAACTTACAGCTACGCCTAAAGAAGTTTTAAAGCCAAGAACACATCCAATTGGAAGTCCAATGATATAGTAAGAGGCCAAGTTTACATAAGCCACTATAGCTTGCCATCCACTTCCAATTGCAACCCCTGAAAATTTCAAAGTAAAAGTAACAAAAGGAGGGTTAGACCAAAATTGGTGCTTATGCTAATATGCTTTGTACAAGCTTTATTACCTGACAATATAGGTTGAATGCCATTAAGGAAAACAGAGATGGTAAGCAATGGAGTCAAATCGGATACAGCCTCAATGACTGAAGTATCAGAAGTGAAAAGTTCACTCATAGGAACCCGGAATATCAAAATAATCACGCAGAAAACCACACTGATGAGGATGCTGGTTCCATTCACTACGAAGACAGAAAGTTTCGTGACTTTTGGATTAGCTGCTCCCAATTCATTGCTAACTCGGACACTACAATCACAAAAAAGTACTATCAACATTTTTTTGTGAAAAGTTTTTTGGATGAACACATTGTTTTGTCACCAAATTTAACCTGGCTGCTGCACTAAGGCCCAACATAAAATTCATGTCCAAGTTCCAATAGTTCATACTACATAATTGGAACAAACATTATAGTTAGACATGTTGGGAAATGATAAGAAACTAAGAAAGATTATAAGACGAAATATTATCATACCAAATAGAGATAGAATCCAATGCGATTGTGGCATTGGGAAGCAGCCCTGATAAAATCACTAGACCCTGATTGTACCATATCTCCAAACTACATCAAGACACATTTTCATATTGTCAAAACAAACTCATCTGAACTCGAGACCTACATTTTGGAATTCATAATTGGTGTGTGCATGAGACGGCGTCTATGTATGCGTGTTTGTCAAAAAATGAAAATTACATTGCAACATAAATGTATAAGGTGGTGGTGATGTAACGTAGTCAACAAATGTAGAGATATAAAATTATTAAAGTAGGAGTTTAACAAATATGCATTATGAACTGTCGACCAAATAACAAATAGTTTTGACATGATTTGTAAGAATAGGCTGGTTATTATCAAAGTCAACAAATTTAACATATAAAATGACGTGTGATTAGATAACAGGGCATGTACTTTTTTTTTTTAATCTTAAATTAATGCATTAACCAATACCAAGAAAGTATATTATGGATAGATGAAAGCTCAGTCGAAGGAGTTTGACATATGGGCATACCATAACATGACAGCAGAAGCAACTGTGAGCTTGAAATAAGGCCAAATTCCTTTAAAGGCTTTTACACTGAAGCCAGTCCAGGTTTCCTTGCATCTTGGGCTAAGAAGGATGTAAAGGCCATTTAACAAGACAAGAACCCACCAAGAAAAGCTAAGAGTAAGGGATGCCCCAAGAAGGCCGTAATCAAAAACAAAAACAACAAGCCAGTTGAGAAGCACATGCAGAAGGAACACCCCAACAGCCATATATGCGAGAGGATTCACAATGTTCTGTGCTTGGAGGAACCTCTGCATAGGACAGCTTATTGCAAATGCATAGAGTTGAGGAATAAGTCCTCGTGCAAACAATTGCCCTTGCTCCGCTATGACATCTGTCTGTCTTATGGCTAATAGAAAATCTCCAGAGAACCAATACAAAAATGTGATAAGCACTGCTGCTCCAAGGTGCAAGATGATTGCTCTCTGCAATATGATGCTCATTGCTGCATACTTTTTTGCTCCATATGCTTGCCCACAAACAGTTTGCACAGCACTTGCCATCCCCAGCTATTTAAGCAAAATGCAATCATCACAAACATGCGTACACCAAATTATAGTTATATAGCACATTAACATTATAAAAATAGCACTCAATGACATTAAAAGATGATTGCTTTCACAACCAAGTTTTCTCCATACACACTAATCACTTACTTGAGACAATGAGTCTGTATAAATACAAGTTAGATACATTTTTTTAGAGTTTCTCTACTGAAAAATAAAATGTTTTTAAGCTTGTATCCAAACATACTTCATTACTACTTGAACCAACAACTTTTTGGTACAGCATGTATGTTTTAGAGACTGACAGTAATTAAATAAAGAGTAGTTGTAAAATGTATCATACCATAATGCCATAAGCAAGACCCTGAATTCCAACACTGGCTATGGAGGCCCCAGCAAGCTGAAGGGCCCCCAAATGACCAGTAAACATCAAGGTGACAAAAGTGAGCAAATAATTGAAAATGGAGACAACAATGGAAGCCCCAGAGAGGATCCAGAGGAGCCTTGACTCCCACAAAACAAGCTTTGGCCACCATCTCAACGAAATGGGCCCATTTTCCAAGAACTCTTCAACGGCATCTGATGACAAGTTTCTAATTTGTGTGTGTGCGTCAAGCCTGTGAAGCAAGGGTTGGTACTCTACTGAACCCATGCTTAATTATGTACCTAGTTTCAGTATTGCTGCATGAGAATGAGTGGAGGAGTTTCGCATGGAAACATTTATAAATGGTTACGTCAAAACATTTTCTAACTAACATTCTCTTTTACGACGTAGGCGAGTAGATGAAACTACCCTCTACTTTCATATTATTATTCAAATAGTGACTTGTCTTTGAGTCAAACTCAAACCTGGTATTCCGACACAAACACATCCTCGCTGCTTTTAATTAGGTACGCAACTAAACTCTTGGATTTTTCCTTGTCCTTTTGGTGTTCCTCACATGCTCAGCAAATAGAATGTAATGAAATATTAACATGGAAATTCAAACCTTAAGAAGTGCGATTTATCACAATTTTAGATAATGATTATAGTTTAATATATATGAACAGTTAGTGTAAAATTTTTACATTATTAATCAATTAGAAATCACATTAAATATAGATTTTAATTTAATTAATATAAAATTGATAAATGTAATATACTGGATAATGTTTTTTTATTAATTAATAACATTAAAATACTTGACATTGTTAATAAATATATTATTTATTCTAATAATTAACTGTTGACTATTAGATATCGGAAGTAACACGTTTTCATTAAAAAAAAAGTAACTAAACTTAATTAAAAAAATAATTTTACATAAAATTAATATTGTTGGAAACATATATTCTATATTATTAAAATTATTAAATATAATTTAGGTTTAAATACTTCTTTCATCTCTACAAATATCCTACTTTTCAGTTTTATTATCTGAAAAACTATTTTTATTCTTTCCGGAGGTGGAGGGAGGGGAGACTAGGAGGGTTCATGGTCTCCTTATTATTTTTTTTTAAATTATCAAAATTACTTTAAAAATATTTTTTTACTCTAAAAAATTATAAGTCATGTTAGTTTACATTTAGGAAAAAAAGAGAAAAATATATATAAGATTAATATATAATGTGATAGAAAAAGAAATAAAAATAATAATAAATTATTTATGTTATTAAAATATTTACATAAACTTATTAATAAAAATTTTAACCATTCTCAAACCAAATTTCTGGCTCTGTCCCTAATTCTTTCAATATTTAAAATTTAAATTTTTGTGCTATACAAAAACGCTTAGGTAGCTTCATTAGGTGTTGTCAGGTAACAACTTCTTGTCACAAAAGGCAACATTAGATATAACCATGCAAACATTTTTTAATGAAAATTGACCATAAGAGCAAAAAATAGAGTATTTAAATATTATTAAAAAATACATAAACTCAAAAGGGTATATTTTACATGAGTTATTATAAATATACACTCAAATTTATTTTTCATATCATTATTTTATTTGCACTGAAGATAAATATTAACCAGTAATTAGTAACTAATTCTTTTCAAAGTCCGTGGATAGAAATCACCAAATAAATTTTGTCTCTTTTAATATATTTTTTTCATACTGGCGGCTAAGAAAATAAACCCTCTTCAAAATGAATGAGAAATCCAGCCATAATTATCAGTTGTGTTGTATTTTGTTGATTTTTTTAATATTATTTTATTCTATTTTCTTTCTAATTTTCCTTTTCTTTCTCATTATATACTTGTGTGTAAAAAGATTAAATTATATTGATATAATTTTATTTACTATTACTTTGTTAATAAATTTATATTAAATATGAATTTTTTTATTTAACAGTTGATTTTAAATATTTTTTTAATTTTATTGTAATTTAACAACAATAGAAATTCATTCAAATTGTTTTTATTTTAATATATTTTAAAAAATATATATATATATATTATTGATTTTTATTTATATAATAAAGTATTAAATAATTTTAAATTAATATAACATTTTGAATATATGATGTAGGTAGAATTTTTTTGAATTCAACAGTAAATTTTGAAAAAAATCTAATTAAAAGTTATTAAATAGAGTAGTTTATAACAATATATAACTAAAATAATTTTTAAAATATTTTATAGCATTATTTTTTATTTTAACTTTTTTTAACTAATATATATTTTAAATATAAAATAAGAATATATATATATATATATATATATATATTCATTTTTTTTTAATTTATTATCAAAAAAATATTCTCCATTGAGATTTAACAACTTGAATTCTGTAATTATAAGAATAAGATTTATACCCTAATCACTTTGTTAATTACATTTCTCCCAAGTAAAATGATTGACTTGGAATGAATAAGTCATTATCAATGTAGTATCTTTCATTTTACAGACAGAATGTGAGTGATTGACTTTCAAGTCATTGTAAAAGCAACTTAGAGACTTCAACAGAATATCTCTCACTCTAGTTAGGTGGCTCATTTAGTTAGTTGTGTTGTGTTGTGTTGTATCCACCCACAGACATCTTTTCTTATTTTATTCAAGAGGCCCAATACTTTACAATTGCTAGTAACCCACTTGGACTATATTTGGCTAAGTGAAATTATTAAAATATAATTTTTATATCTTTTATTTAAATTATTTCTGAAAAACTCAAAAGTAGTTCACTCCATCTTTGTAAAAGAATTAAGAGGAAGAAATAATTAATTTTTATGCTAACTTTTATTTATAGGTTCATTTCTTCGTACATCTAACTGGAAAAAAAAATTAGTCATTAAAACATATGCTTTTGAAAAAATAATAAATAGATTAATTTTTATGTTTAAAAATAATATATTATGAAAGGTCTAATAAAAAATTATAGTGCAAAATTAAACTTTTTTCAATTTTTTTAAAAATATAATAATATGGTGTAATAAAAAGATTCTCCTTATAATAACAATGAGTTAATTCATCTACATTAAAATCTATTGCAAGGCTCACAAACCCAATATAGTTAGTATTAAATGTTTACAACAATATTATAACTAAATAATCACAGATGACTAATAAATACTCTAATTTTACCATTTAATTAATCTAATTTGATTGAATGTGTGACTATCTTAAGACACATGGAATTAAAAAGTCCAATATAACGTGGACAAGGTATCTCAACAATGCATAAAATCACACTTAAAATATATTAATACATGTATGGGAGAGACTTAATTATATATAAACGGTAACAAAAAAAAATATTGTGCACAATAGAAAATGGTAACAACATGTTGATAACAAGCTTTTGACAATGATAATTAATAACGTACATTTTGCTTAACATGTAAAAAAATTTGTTATTTAAAAACATTTGTCAAAAGAGTTATAACTTTTAGGTGAAGTACTTAATGTCTTAATGTGAGCATAAAATCACATTTTTTTTCATCATATAAATAAAAATGGAAAAAAATAAGTTGGTGTAAAATTATGATATTTTAGTCATAAAATAAAATGGCTTGTTTGTTATATTTTTTTATTTTGTACAAAAATCACTTTATTTTTTTTAGTGAATTAAAAAAAAACTTTATTTAAATAGTCACTTTTGAAAATTGTTCATATGAATCAGAAGATGAAAAAAATATAAAATCATATATAAGCTATTTTGAATAATAAAGAATTATATAAAACTGATTTTTTTTATTAAATATTTTCGTGATTGTAAGCAAACATAAATCATCTTATACTTTTTAAAGAGTGTGCTTGTTTCAATTAATTCTAAAAAAAATTTATAGAAAAAAAGACACTTATAAAATATTGTAAGGTGTTTGATTATTTTTTTTCTTCAAAAAATCAAAATCAGAAAAAAGTAGGTTTATGTTTTTTTTCTTTTTCTTTCAAAAGCTAGTTGTAGCTACTCCTCCAAATAATTAGATGTGGTAGATGAGAGCACCAAGTCTCTAATTTGAACAGAAAAATCTATCTAAAAATTGAAATTATAATGATTGTCCCTCCTTTTTTACTGGAGTTAATAACAATAAAATAGTGTAGTTATTGACCAATAATTCATGATCAACTTTTAAAAAAATATATTTTTATCTTGTTATTATAAGTTATAGTGCTTTTTTTTTGTCAGTACAGGTTATGGTTATTTTTTTTTAGAAATTTTTTTTATTTATTGTGGTGGTTGTTAACCCCTTTCTTTCTTTTTTTCTTTTTATTTAATTTTTTAGGATTTTTTTTTCATTTGTTTTTAAAAATATGGTAAGCAAGATTTGTTTAACTAATATATCTTCTTTTTTTTTTTTCTATAAAGAAATTACTTTTACTTTTTAAATATTACACATTTAGAAAAATAAATCACTTTTTGAAAAAATTAAAAAAAAATTTAAAATAAATCACTTTCATTTTTTAAATATTACATATTTGAAAAAAAAATCACATATATTTTTGGATCGTTATTGATTATAACACTTCATTTTTTTAATATATTTATGGGATTACTATATGCTACAACAATTTTTTTTTTAATTTTTACTTTTTAATTTACATTTATTATTTTGCTTTATTTTTTCATTTATTTTAAAAATTAATAAATAAAGATGATTTATTTAAAAAATAAAAAATATATATGCAAGATTTTTTTAATAAATATACCAATTTTTTTTATAAAATAATTCACTTCCATTTTTTTAATATTTCACATTGAGATAAATAAATCACTTTTTGAAAAAAATTAACAAAATTTTTTAAAATAAATCGCATTCATTTTTATGTATTACGCGTTTAGAAAATAAACCATTTTTTTTTATAAAAAATAACAATTTTAAAAAAAAATCACTTTAACTATTAAATAATACACATTTTAAAAAAATAAATCACCTCTTTTGTCGTTAAAGATTATAGTGTCTTATTTATTTATTTTTATTGTTATAAGTTATAACAACTTTTTGTTTGGTTTATTTATTATTTTTATTTTTTTGGGGTCATTGCTATCATAGTGACCTCATTTCTTATTTGTTTATATTTTTGGTTTGTTATCTTCATTCATTTTTAAAAAATTGATAAAGATAACTTATTTAAAAGCTTAAAAATATGCAAGATTTATTTAGTAAATATACCAAATTTTTTTAAAGTAAATCATTTTCATTTTTTTAAATATTACACATTTAGAAAAATAAATCACATATAACAATTTTTTAAAATATTACACATTTAGAAAAACAAATCATTTTTTTGTC